CTTTCACGCTAAAAAAAAAAAAAAAAAGAATCTGTTTATTGCTCCAAGACGACCAAATTTTACCAAGGCTGCAATTAATCACAATGAACTCAAAGAAACGTAGCCTCATGGCTATAAACCTTTAAGAGTTGGCAGTTTGCTGCGGTTTTGATGTGGCTTCCTCTTCTTTCCTATCCAACATATATCGCCCCATCTTGTCCTCTTTTTCTTTGCATTTTACTCTCCAGTAGCAGCTTTAATCCTTGGCACTTCTATAACCTAGTTGAGCTGCAAGTGCCGTTCAACTCTTACTAAACTCCAACACAAGACAGTAAACAATCTGCTATAACTCCTCCTCCCCAAAAAAAGATTGTACCCTCCCCTCAGAAACCGGAGACTGCCGTGCTGCTTTCCCTCGTTACTTCTACAACCCTGAGAGCCGGTCATGTCAGACGTTTGTTTATGGAGGTTGTCATGGTAACGAGAACAACTTCCACACCGAGTCCCAGTGTCGAGCAGCGTGCGTGTGTACTCAAGGATCAGAAAGAATCCAACGAAGGAACAAGTGCTCAAGACCATACTTCTACGATGTCGACAGCGGAGCATGCAAACGATTCGGCAAGCAAAGCTGTAACAGAAATGTCAATCGTTTCAGAAACGCCCGCCAGTGCAATTCGGCGTGTGTGACGTCACGCTGCTACCTGCGGCCGGAAGTGGGACAATGCAGGGCCGCCTTAATCCGTTTCTACTACAACTTCACAAGCCAGAAGTGCGAGAGCTTTATCTACGGCGGCTGCAAAGGAAACCGGAATAACTTCGGCTCACTGCGGCAATGTGACCAAGCCTGCACCGCGGCCATTAAGCCAGGTGAGAGCCCATCTGTTCACGTGGCCAAACAAGACCCAAGCTGCCTCCTGCCCAAAGTGACTGGTCCGTGCCGGGCTTCTTTCCCCAGGTTTTATTACAGTTCCGTGACCAAAAGATGCTTGAGGTTCACTTACGGTGGTTGCCGAGGCAACGCCAACAGCTTCCGCACAGAGATTGATTGTAGGAGAAAATGCTTGTCATGAAAACATGACGAAGCCAGGCTAGACAGACCCTATGAATTAGATTCTAACATCAGTTTTTATATCTATCATTTGTCAATGGGTCGAGTATTGTACACTAATACCTAACACTGGCCTGACTCGCTTATTAAATCTTTCTAAAGCATATCACGGTCATATATTGCTGAGCACGTAGTACGGATGTATTCCTTTGATCTTTTGGAAGCGTTAAGTCAACTTCAAATAAGGCATCATTACCAAAGGCCATTTCTGCGACAGACATCGGTGACAATGGTTCTCCATCCATTCCTTTGCTCAGATCCTGAAAAAAATCCCCCCAAAAACAACATTATCCTGAACTTTCCGAGTCGCTCATCAGCTGATTTGGCTCTTCAAGTAAGTTGCTCTTTAAGTGTCCAAGACATTGCATTTGTCTATTCCTGATTTTGGCTATTCAAAATTGTTCTTGGGAGATAACAGCAAAACATGCCAGACAAAAATTTCATTTGGAATGAAAAACTCAAGAAAAGAATAGGGCAGTTTCCAGATTTAATGTCAGTGTGCAAAAAACGACCGAATTAAACAAAATAGTGCAGTAGAAAATCCATACCCCAGCATCATCAAATATGTCTTTAACGGGTGAATCTCAATATCTCCCATACTTTGTACAGCAGTTTGCATCAATTTGTCTTAACTTAATCATTATATTTCCACAACAATTGAGGCTAGATTAGAAAACATTTCTTAAGGGG